GTTTTCTGAAATCGGTATTATAGGAAACATGAAAGGAGTGCTAAGAGCGGGTCCAAAATATTCAACATGTGTCTGTGAGCTGTATTATTATTATTAATATTAATCGCGTTTCCGCGTCAATGTCAGCAATTTCTACATGATAGATGCTCATAGATTCGCATAATTATGCTGAATGGATACGGGCAGAGGACAGCCAACAATATACAACACGACAAGGGTCAAGAAAACAGACCAATAGCTAGCACGAGGCACAACATCAAGGCACGAGAGGCAGATTACTGCTACAAACGACAGTTTTAGACAGACAAACAAATGCCAGGACGAAAGATTGTTAGATTGTTGACACAAGAAAGAACATCAATATCAGTTCATCATGTCAACTAGCTACATGGTGTGCTCCGGAGCTCCAAGCGCACTCAAATTATTTTTTGAATTTCGGCTTTCGGCCGCTTGTACAAGCTGTGGCTGAAACAAGCCGGAAAAAAACGGCTGAGAGTCAGCCACGGCTGAAAGTCGCTTGTAGGACATTTTTCAGCCATTTCCATGGTAATAGTGACGTAAACAAGCGCTTGTTTCGGCTGAACGGCTGAATCGAGCTCGGTGTGACCGCGGCCTAACAGCCCTAGCACATCCTGGATGCGCACTCCAATATACCTCTAACTTGGAAGGTACTTAATGGAAGTGTCCGGAGGAGGAAGGAGGAAACTATAGTCATCACCAGCCCTCACGGCGCCCAGCTTACGCCGCTGCCGCGTGCGACCTGAGCTTGCCGCCTTGCCGTGCAGTATGAAACTGTCCTAAAGCCAGTCACGTGATTGGCAGCCCCGTGACCTGTCTACCGCATCGCAGCGCTTAGAAGCGCCAAATGCGGCAGGGCCAGTCTCAGGCTGGTCGCGTAGGCGGCAGCCCGGCGCGGTGGGCGACCGGCAATGCTGCATTCGCTTTTGGATCAACGAAGTGATACAGGTGCTTGGATCATGGAATGCACCCCGTAGCGGATCAGGGAGGCATCTGGGGACCAGGCAGCCCATAAGCGCACCACCGTTTCAGGTCTGCGCAGGGGGGGGGGGGGGGGGAGAGTGATAAGTTATTGTAGTCTGATTTTTATTTTGCCCATTTTCGAATTACGAAAATGGAGCAAACTGTCATAGTTGGCGAACAAGGCCTAAAGTGAACATCTAAATGTTCACCCGTTCCAAATTGGCGATTCTCGCATCCTTAACTATGTTACTACAAGTAGTACATACACAAATAGGAGATCCCTCAGATAGGCGTTAGCCTTTGGGTAATCCTGAAATAAAGATTATTATATTATTATCTCGCTCGACGGTTGCATGTTGATCGTAGATTCCGTCCTGTGTTCCGTAGTTTTCCTGCCCATGTAACTTTCCTTTGTCTGGTCGGCAAACAAAACAACTCAATATGACCGACGCCTTCGAAATCTCTTCAAATCATTTTCATCTACTTGAAATATTGGTATACATAGGTATACATACTTGCCGTTGTGGTACCTCATCAATAATAAATCAAAGGTATAATTATGGCAGACGAAAGAGGAAGAAAAATTAGAAAAAATCACGATATTTGAGCAGAATCCATGACACTGCTGGCTGTTCTAGAGTTATGTCATTCTCATCGATGTACAATTAAAGAGAGCATGTCTGAGAAAACCAGAACATATGTGCAAGTCGATCTCTCAGATTTCGCTCAAATTTTGCAGGTAGGTTTGCTTTGGGGTGAAGATCGACATTCCAAAGCCCGCGCAAAATCTTTTGAAGGGAACCATGAAATTGGCATACCCCTCAATATTGGCCCAATATTGGCACGATTTATGGGTCTACAAACGAGCCACGGCACAGCGTACAAGACCAAGCTACGTACAAAACTCCATCAAGCCATCATTACCTCACCTTAGAAGAGTTCTTGGGGCAGCAACGCTTAGCCACGCCAGCATCCCAGAAGACGAGGGAAATCATCCCTTGACGCCACAAATGATCGTCTTGAAAATAGCCAAATTACAAGCGCTGATAAAACAGCGAGCTACGTCCTCAATTAGCAAACACTATACACCGGCAGATAGTAGAACACCTCTTCTAGCACTGAGGACATGTCCCCCATCATCCTTTTGGATTTTCTTGAAATAAACAATTTTGAATTTTTCCACTCGACCATTCTGAAATACGTCCAAGCTCATACCTGCGCAGGAAAGCTCGCCCCTCCGCGACGTCTAGTCAGCAATTTCTACTCCAACACCACTCCCAACGCTGCAGAACAAAGTGTATTGTTGACTCTGACAAGGAAAAGCAGCGGTGATCACTTGTCACTCCAAACGACAAGCTTCTCCTTGCGCCACCAACATTTTTCGTTGCAACAGTTGATGCAAAAGTGACAGAATTTTGGCGTGTAGTTTTTGGATTTTACTGCACGAGGAATGATGAAATCACGTGCCTCGTGACACAAGAATGCCAGGTCTCGTAGATCACGGTTCAGCAGTTGTTCCGAGTCACCTTGATCAAGCGCTCCTGCACTTACATGGATCACCCGTTGATCTAGATCGGATCAAGTGCATCTTGATGTCCAGCTCAAGAGCACGCATGTCGTGTTGTAGGCCTTCCAGCTGGGACTTTCCCTCAACATGCAGCATAGAGACTATATAGGCTGTATAGCCTACAAAATGTAGGGCGAGTAGGGTCAAGTCACGTTGTTCATGACGTAAGAAATCTGCCATGTGGCATGTGGGCGCGCCACATACTTCATGCAACCAGTGTTGGCCGCGCGCTGGTCAACTCCAAGCGACCTTGTGGCATGGACCACGCTCATTTCTTGCTGTTGCAGATCTACGTGGATCATCAGCATGTAAACCAGCCGTAGTTCCTGTTGAACCATGTTCGGGATGAGCGAGGTTTGTGGGAAAAAATGCATCCCTGTTCTTACGGCAAGCGGAAATATCTCCAAGAATTCTTGCCAATGCAATACTGCTAGCGTTATAACGATAGTTTCTGCATGTTCTGAGCAGAGCATGCAAGAAATATAGTGCATCTTACCTCCTCCCTCATGGTCCGTTTCGAATAGCGCCTCAGGAACGATCGTGATCGTGTGCATTGTGTCGTGTACCAGAAAGCATTATTCTACGTCACGATCCACATGATTTCTTCATTCCTCTTGCAGTAAAATCCAAAAACTACACGCAAAAATTCAGTCACTTTTGCATCAATTGTTGCAACGAAAAATGTTGGTGGCGCAAGGAGAAGCTTGTCGTTTGGAGTGACAAGTGATCACTGCTGCTTTTCCTTGTCAGAGTCAACAATATACTTTGTTCTGCAGCATTGGGAGTAGTGTTTGAGTAGAAATTGCTGACTAGACGACGCGGAGGGGCGAGTTTTCCTGCGCAGGTATGAGTTTGGACGTGTTTCAGAATGGTCGAGTGGAAAAATTCAAAATTGTTTATTTCAAGAAAACCCCAAAAGGATGATGGGAGACATGTCCTCAGTGCTAGAAGAGGTGTTCTACTATCTGCCGGTGTATAGTGTTTGCTAATGCAGGACGTAGCTCGCTGTTTTATCAGCGCTTGTAATTTGGCTAGTTTCAAGACGATCATTTGTGGCGTCAAGGGATGATTGCCCTCGTCTTCTGGGATGCTGGCGTGGCTAAGTAGTGCTGCCCCAAGAACTCTTCTAAGGTGAGGTAATGATGGCTTGATGGAGTTTTGTTCGTAGCTTGTTCTTGCACGATGTGCCGTGGCTCGTTTGTTGACCCATAAATCGTGCCAATATTGGGCCAATATTGAGGGGTATACCAATTTCATGGTTCCCTTCAAAAGATTTTGTGCGGGCTTTGGAATGTCGATCTACACCCCTAAGCAAACCTACCTGCAAAATTTGAGCAAAATCTGAGAGATCGACTTGCACATATGTTCTGGTTTTCTCAGACAAGCTCTCTTAAGTGCCTTTCTTTTGTTTCGAACTGATTGCCGTTCAAACAATCGACGAGGAGACAATAGTCGTAAAATGGCAATAAATAAGATAAATTGTGCACTCATAACAACAGCAAAAATGAAGAAAGTCAAGTTCCATAACGTTTTCTTGTGACTGTCATCAGTGGAACGCCGTCACATAAAAATGTAATAACTAAAACACACACTTATATACAATTAGCTAATATGGTTTCAGGTAGAAATACAGCAGCTTACAAGTACAAAAAGCGAAGTTTGCACCTTTGCAATGTGTGAATATAGTGTATGTGAGAAAGGTAGTGGCAGATGAATGTGATACTGTGTGAATGAATGTAATGGTGCGTGCGTGACCCTGTGCTATGTAAACAGAAAGAAAACGCTGTATCACTCAGGCTCTTCAAGTAATACACACGCACCATTATATTCATTCACACAGGATCACATTCATCTGCCACTACCTTTCTCACATACACTATATTCACACATTGCAAAGGTGCAAACTTCGCTTTTTGTACTTGTAAGCTGCTGTATTTCTACCTGAAACCATATTAGCTACATGTATATAAGTGTGTGTTTTAGTTATTACATTTTTATGTGACGGCGTTCCACTAATGACAGTCACAAGAAAACGTTATGGAACTTGACTTTCTTCATTTTTGCTATTGTTATGAGTGCACAATTTATCTTAATTATTGATTGCCGTTCCATAATAATTATTATATTGTTCATTTCGTATTTCACCCCATGTACGTTCACTAATGAACGTAGCTGGAAAACCGTTCCGAACTTTTCCTTCTTTTACTTTAGTACCTCACATTTTATCTCTCTAACATGTACTTTATAAGAAGAAATGAGGACCAAGGAAGTACAAGTTACGCTGTAACGGCCATTAACATATCAATTAATCATTGGTTCTCCACCCGTGTGTAACCTGTAGTTTAGTTTTGCATCCTCCATAAATACTGGGTACCTCACAGTCTGTCCAGTTGTTTGCGGTATTAAAGTTGCTATATCCGAAACGCTTGTCCAAAGACGGCATAGATATACCCAACATACCTGAGGCGCCGAAACAACTGCTGCAATACGTGTTAGAATGCAGTGCTTGTTTCAGTGTGACTGAAGGCTAATAATAATAATTTGTAAACAGACTATATAGCGAAAACAAATCGAAAATGATGAGTTGAAATAACTACTGGGTTGAGTTTAGGTGAGTTGCTTATCAGCAATTGTTTTATGTGTAATGAAGCTGCGAGAGGCAGTATTTCTTCTACAGTATTATAAAGCACGAGAGTTTGAACAAAGCGACATGGCATTTAGTCCAGAGCAGTGCAAACATGCTAATCCGATCACCAGTCCGAGCCTCAGTAGCATACAGAGAAATCTCACCAAAAAGAGGTTACAACAAACTGCCATGCCAAAAACCTGACATCTGTATGGCTAAGCTTCGGGAACAGATGGGTTTCTATCATTACAGAACAAAGAGAATCCTGTGCTGCTAAAACATGATCATCTGCAAGCATCATGTCACACACCCTGACAAAAGCTAGACCTATCTTCTGGTTAAGGCTGTGAACTGATAAACAAAACTAACAATAATGCAAAGTTTATATTCAATCAAAGTATGAACAATGCAAGGCTCCTAAACAGTGTTTTTGAATCTTATCTTGGTTGTGGGAAAGAAATGATTACAGTTATAACAAGTCGCTTTGATATGCCATTCCAGAAAAACTTCATCTACACTGATACATGAATAGGGGTTTTCTCCATAAAATGTTATACCGCTGCACGGGGTAGATTTACACGTCATTCAGTGATTGGGGCGTGGTGGTGGGGGGGGGGGGGGCGGGGGGGGGGCAATAGTCGTTTGTTTGTTTGTTTTTATACTTTAGTTGAATTCGCTAATCCAAACGAGCACAAATGCTCAATTGCAAGGCAGCAAAGATGTCATTAGGTTACAGGGAAGGATGGTTGGGGAGAAAATAAAGAGAAAAAAAGAGAGTGGTGGTAGGGAGAGATTGAAACATGCAAGTGAGTTGATCAGAGGTGGCAATGAACTAATGGTCGTGACTCGAAATCATGTCGAAAGCGGTGATACGTCAACCTTGCTTTCTGTCACGAACAACACCATGGTTGTCGGGGGCATCATAGGTGTGTTCGGCTTTGATTCCGTCAGCAGTGTTCTGCAACACATAGATCATAGAGTTGACATCATCAGGAGAAACAGAATCGCAATAGCAGCTCCTTTCTTTCTGTTTGAATGCGTGACTGCAGTAAGGGGCCTTCCTTAAATACCGATATTTATTTAGAAACGAAAACTAGTCGTTTCTCTTCACCCCACCTCCCCCTCACTGAGAAACGAACACATTCAAATTGTACATAGTTTCGATATCAATTTTTGGTCTTTGTTTGGACATGCTCATGCTTGCAAAATGTACATGGATATTTTTCCCCTAGTTTTCGTTTCTAATATATATATATATATATAAATTTCCAATCAGGCCCGAACGTACCTTGCCAGAGTGCTCAAACTGACAAGTCAGTGAGCTCTGCATAACGCAAACAGCAAAGGCACTAACCCACGCAAGAGGGCTCAACTGCTACAAGAGCAGGAGCGAAATACTCAATCTGCGGACAGCATGCTGTTTCGTTCTTTTTGAACTCATCAGCGCGGCACAGAGAAATGAGGCCGAATCTGATAGCAATGGAAATAAAAATTTCCAATCAGGCCCGAACGTACCTTGCCAGAGTGCTCAAACTGACAAGTCAGTGAGCTCTGCAAAACGCAAACAGCAAAGGCACTACCCCACGCAAGAGTGCTCAACTGCCACAAGAGCAGGAGCGAAATACTCAATCTGCGGACAGCATGCTGTTTCGTTCTTTTTGAACTCATCAGCAAATTTTTTTATTTCCATTGCTATCAGGTTCGGCCTCATTTCTCTGTGCTGCGCTGATGAGTTCAAAAAGAACGAAACAGCCTGCTGCAAACAGCAAAGGCACTACCCCACGCAAGAGTGCTCAACTGCTACAAGAGCAGGAGCGAAATACTCAATCTGCGGACAGAACTGTTTCGCCCTTTGTGGACTCGTCAGCGCGACACAGAGGGAATGAGGCCATATATTTACGGATGACCTCTAACAAGGTATCTACATAATGCATGAACTTAGAGCTTTGAGTTAAATAAGGTATGTGCGTAAGCTGCTTCACATTAAATACTACCATCATTGCATCGCACTAATGAATAAGGATTGTAGGAAGTCAAAACCACTATTGGTCCGTTCCCATGCCTTGATTCTACCGTTAAGAGAATCATGTTGAAGTGGTTGGACATGGGACAAGGCATCACGATGGCTAGCCCCGCCATTTCTTGGAAGTAATGTTCCCTGTATCAAGACCCCGTGGTCGGCCTCTTGACAATTGAATCACCAACAATAAAGATTTGACTAATGAATAGTACAATTCTCTTTCTCTCGTCGCTGCTCATAGTGGTATTTACAGGCAGCTTGTGTATCAGCTTAGTTATATAGTTTTGCATTATTTTTATTTTTTCTGCTGTTCATTTGGGCTGCCTTTTGACTCACATGGTGCCCCTACGATCAGACTAGTTGTGAGGTAATACATGCAGAAACCAGGCAGGCACAGTGGGTTGATCAAAGACCATGATTGAGGTACGAGAGGCACCTGGTTCAAGTCCTGCAATGGAGTGGGTTTTTTTCAGCCGTGCTGCACCCCACAGTCAACTGGGAACTTACGGCAAGGCACAAGGGGTACATAGATGCGGATAATGGGAACTTTCTCGGCACTTGTGCCAGTGGTTGTGGGACTTATCCACTAACCCCCATCGTTAGGCACTGCAGCTGTCGCTAGGGTTTATTATTATTAGACACAATCTCATAGCATGTGACAAGCATAGCTAATGCAGGGACAGAATCCCCTGAGATAAGGGCGTTGAGCCAACCACGGCAATAGTAAGCTAAGAAAACAAAGCAAATATGAATTAAACAGAAAATGAATGGAAACTTACAAAGAAAAACGATTAACAGAAGTGAGCACTATCAAAATTCGTGTATCACCCAGGTATTCGAGAATGTTCTTCGATAATAATTATTGCCGGGTGTTAGCGGCTGTCGTGAGTTCCTTTCGGGAACTGGCACGATAATTTCCGTTTATAATTATACCTGCAAATACATACGAATAACTCGGATGGTGAACCAATTAAATTATGGTGAAAAAAGGAGGACAAAATGTTACAAAAAGACTCAGTGGGATTAAGGATTAAAATTCAGAATGAGGACCAAATGTTTACAAGTTATCCGTTTTGTCCAATACAAACGACCGGTTATAAGCAGAATATTGTTGAGTCAAAATGTGCAACAATTAGCACAAAACTGACTGATGATGTCATGACAATCAATACCACATGTACATACTACATGTACATGTGGAATGGAACTTGTGATGGACTAAAAAACGGCAATAACAAGTAGTGTCACACGACGTATGTTTCGCCGTAAAGATAACATTCTTAGTTCGCCGTGATGTTTAGCTTGTTTTTGTCTAGAGCGCTCTCACCTTCCCCTATCTTACCTTACTTCAAAACTTAGAACCTTCCTAATTGGAAGGCTGCTGGTTTGCGTATTCTAGACGTGATGCAGCTAAGCATCAGGTCGTTGAATGTCATAACATCATCAGTCAGTTTTGTGCTAAGTGTTGCACATTTTTGACTCAATGGGGATCCCCCGAGATCAAGTCATCATCTCCAAGGCTACATTTATTGGCGAAGTAGCGACCAAGGCAGTTCGCTTTGGCAGCATTCATACGGAGTTAGTGACCAGCGTCAACCATCAAGCATGGTATAGACGAGCCGTGACTGGCGCCAGCAGCAGATTTGAGCACCGACCACCATTGCTTTTCTCTCAGGCCTCTGCGTGACAGTTTCCGACGATCTCTCAGTTCCCAGGATGTGCTCGCTTGCACATTCGCGAGGATAGCATCTTCTACTGGGCGCATGAAGCAAGCCTTGTTGGCTTCGCTGAAAATATTGCGTCTCCAGGCCTTCCAAGCCTTGGCTTTAGTGTTCAATGCTGTGGTGCACTCAGAAATCCACCATTTGGGGTCTGCTGGGCGGGTAATAAGCTGCTTGGTAGGGATAAATTTCTGCATGACGCTGGATATGACGTCACTTAGTTTCCTGCAAGACTCTTCAGGGTCGTCAGTCACAATGGTGGACCAGTCAGTAGTGCGATAGACGGCCCGCAGGCGCCCTGACAGTCTGCCTGATTGTAGCGCCAGACAGGCCTGGAGGTAGCTTGCTCAGCATCAGGGGCGAGATCAAAGTCGGCAAGAACAACCCCATGGTCTGAGCGACCAAGTGGCGCCGTGACAGTGGTGTCGATAGGAACGGGCATGTTGTGAAGGATGCGGTTCACAGTCAGACCCTAGTCGGCTGCAAGACATGCTGGTGGAGGTGATGCTCAACACACAATTCTTCCAAGGCCTCTCCAGCTACAGTTTGTTTGCTGCTGCAGAGCCAAGTCTCGTGGTGGACATTAAAATCCCCAGCTAGCACTATGTGAGTGCCGTGAGTGCTGGCCACGTCTAGTGCAGGTCCAAGATACTCAATCAGACAGTTGTCGTTGTCCGCACAGGATACAGGCCGATACAAGGCACCGATCACAACAGATTGTTGCGTAGAAAGACTGACTGCGAGCCACAGGACTTCGTGGTGATCAGTGGGAATCTGCTCGCGGTGCACCACTTCATCCATACAGCAATGCCGCCATCAAATGCATCCCGGTCACATTGATGGGAGGCGAGTATCCTGGAAATATCGCCTCAGAGGCTACAGTCTGCGCCGAAAACTTCGCTTCTGTGATAACCGCTATGTCGACGTTATCGTTGAGCAGTGCTTGCTGCAGCTCTCCCAGCTTGTTGGTGAGGCCAAATGCGTTAGTCACCAGCCAGCTATAATAAAAATAATTATTATTATAGTACATGTCTGCTATGTCTGCAGGATCTGTTGCTGCGGTGCCGTCTGCAGCTGTCATTGATCGGATCGGCTACCGACTACAATTCTTACGGAGATAGCGGTGAAATTGATGGAGACTAGGGCAATCATGGGAAGACAGTGTGGCATGAACCGACTGTACACACTGACGATGGAGGGTACTTGACAAACATTTCACTTCGTTACGCTTGCGCTTAAAGGCAATGAAGTTGTCACTGGTTTGATACTTCCTATAAATGATATACAAATATCGCTTCAGTTTCACAGCGCACTTGAGGTCTGCAGTGATCCAGGGTCGGATGCATTCCGCATAGTAGGATGAGGCCTACTGTAGTGTCCGGTCCGCGGAATAACTTTGTAAGGCAACAGATGACGACGGATTGCTGGCTGTAGTAGAGCATCAAACAGGACAATGGCATCATCAACATCGGAATGCCGATGAGGTAATGACCAGTCCGATCTAGACAAGTCTTCATTCACAACCTGACAGACACTTGTAGGCATTTGTTTATACCTGTACTGAGCCCGGGGATGGAGTGACGATTTAGCCGTCGCTTGTGGTGTCGAGCACGATGCATAGTTGAGCGTACAAACAACCTGCAGGTGATCAGATGTGCGTAGAGGTGCTGCATGATCCACTGAACGGACATGTCGGGGTTTGTTGGTTACCATCAAGTCAAGACAGGAGTTGGCACCCACTGATGGAGTGTATGTTGGGAAATTCAATAGTTGTTGGAGCCCAAACATGGAGAAAACTGTCTGTATGTTGGTACGTTGGTATGTTGGTACCGACTGTAGGGATGGAGTCAGAAGAGCACCAATCATTGTGTTTTGCATTAAAATCCCCCGTCAGGAAGAAGTCACGCTCGTCATAGCAAAAGGACTGTATAGCGACGACCAGCATATCCGAGAAGAAGGACAGTTGTTCCACCGTTTGGGAAAGGGTAGATACATGCAACATACAAGAATATGGTTAGGGGCATTGAGACTTAACTTCCACCCAGGCAGATTCACAGGCCTGACGCTACAGGTCGGGTCTGGGTGATCATGTTGAAAAGCATCAGTCCGGACAAGCACGGCGAGACCACCATATCCTCTAGTGAAAGCGTGTGCATTACAGTTGTCGTGTGCTGGTCTGTCTTTTCTTAAACAGGCATAGCCCAGTACATGCACGGAAACAGATGGGCACAGCCAGGTCACCGTGAGGCAAACAATACTCGGCTTAGTGCTCTCCTGAACAATTGAAAGTTCAGCAAATTTATTGACGAGAGAGCGACAATTCACATTTTTCAGCGATAGGTCGGATTCTGATCTGAAAATGGGGTAGCATCCAAGTTGAGGGAAGACATAGACAACATGATTATGGAGAGGGATTATCAGCACCACGTTCAGTCACGTTGGTACCGTCGGCAAAACGCTACTTACGGACGGTGTGGTCAATTGTTTCCGGCCAAAATCCTGTACTGAATATTTTGCCTTAACTGGCTTCAAATACTCCTCTGACCGCTGCTTGTCTGTAAGTGAAATCTTCCACGCCTTGTCTGGCGTCCTTCCGAGCGAGGCAAGCAAATCTCGCTTTGCTTCCGCATAGGCACTGCAGCCAATACAGTTTTGGTTTTTCACAGCAGAGCGTAGCGAAAGAGTGCAAAAAACGTATTTTTCACTCACAAATATTTTCGTGCATTTGCTCTTGTTCTGCGCAACTCCGTTGAACCTGCCATCGTGGTCTTTGTTTTTCCTCGTGGTAGTTGAAGTTGCCCGCCCACCCACCCTGGTTTCATGCGAATCGTCCGCTGTTCTTCTTTACAATCTATGCCTATGTGTGTGGCTTATGATTATGACATACACCGGTTATTACATACCATTTCTTGCTATCTCTATTCTTGGGTCTGACTGGTAGCGGGGCAGGAATTAATGAAATAGAAAGGTTTTTTGGCCGAAAGGCGTGCTTTTCCTCTAGCCCAGTTGAGCAGTCGCGGCTAAGAATGTAGGGAGTCATTGTTTTTCAGGCGCTCCCCTGCTGCCCAGTCACCCATGCTCACCACTGGCCATGCTGTTCCACTTGATTTCACGGCCTTTACTCCCGCTTGCTGGCGGTTCTTTGACGGATTTAGATGTTTTTCGGCTATTTATCTATTATGTGGCTGCGAGTGTGGTTTTTTGCTTCTACTTGTTTCTGGAAAACCATCACAGTGGTGAGTGTGATTGCTCTGGTAGACCACTACCCCATGTACTGAACAGTCGCTTTGTGAGTGAAAAGTTCCTTTTTACCGTGCTACCCGTTAGCGCGATACGCAATCGCAGCAGCCATTCGTTTTCGTCGAGCTCGTTCTTGGCAAAGATGTCCTCGAACAGGTCGAGATAATGCTCCAGTGGCTGCCTTCCGTCGTATGCGGGACTTGCATTAAAGACCTACGCCCACCGCTGTGACTGGTAGCTTCCACTGTACCTCCCATCAACCTCACACGCGCGGCGTCACCATCACCTTCATACACCCTGGCGATGCGCTCGTTAATCTTCTTGAGCTCTCCGTTAAACTCTATTCCTAGCGCACCCTCTTGCCGTTTGGCACGGCGCTCTTCAAGCACCTCGCACTGTTGGAGCTTCTTCTCCGCGTATTCCATCAGCCTATCGCCTTCAAATCCATGCCGAATTCCGTTGTCGATAAAGCTCGGTTCCAAATTATGCAGTCCCTCTGCCATGCTCACTTCGATCCTGGCGTAGTCGCCAAATATTCTGAACCCTTCTGATTCTCTTAAAGTGTCAGGGACGAACGACCACACGGCACGAGGTCAGCTATTTACTCGTCAACGATATATTTCGCTTGATCGAGCAATAACTAACAAATAAACCACCATGTTCAGGTAGTTATAGCGTGAAAATGACAGTGTATATGAGAAAGCATACACATACAACATACAACTACAGCGCACATAGCAAATCGCACATAGCGCATGTAGCGTATACCACGTCGTCAACTTCAGCGGTACAGCGGAGTCGAGATACAACTGCATTGAAACGAACACAATGTCACTCTTGAGAATTTGTGGTTTGATAACACTCCCAATACACTTCGCACCAAGAGTACATAACTCCCAAGAGTGTGTAACTCGATTATGGGTTTCTGGCGGCAGGTCGGTGGAGCACTCTTCATCCAAACTGTCGTCAGGCACAATTTGCTGGTAATTTTGCTCACCTCACAAAGATTCACCTAGGATTCCCTGTAACAAGGCCATGCCTGTTGGGATTCCCTTGTCAAATACTTGTAATAAATACTAGTACTACGACTAGGTGTTGTCCCAACAGAATTTCAAGTTGACGTCATTTTAATGATGCAATGCGCACTTTACACGGATTATCAGAAGAATCCGGAACTTTTGGTGGACCAAAACCTATCTGATCCGGTACAAATTATTACAAAGACAAATCTGTGATGCGTTGACACCCTTACAAATCTTGTACATCACTAGTGCAAGTAGCATTGCATCATAAATAATGACTTCAACCACTTGAAATTTTGATGAGACAGCAGAGTATGTGGGAGTTGCACACTCTTGGGGGGTTATGTAATTTTGTTCGCTCACATACACATACCACCGAGTTGCTTCACGTTATCATCTTTCAGTTGAAAGCCCTTTTTGAATAGGTTAAATGGTATGGTACGGGAAACGTACAGGATAGCGCCGGGCAGGGCCAACGATGCAATAAACAATTATAAATATAGAGCTGTGTGGACCCTGGCTAGCACCAGACGCAATGTCTTTTGCATAGCTACGGTAAGAAGAACTATTTGCTACATTTAGATCCAACAGTATGTGATCTTATCATCAAGCAATGAACTCACTGATGGGGGATCTCCTGCAACATCATAGGTTGGGTTGCAGATTGTCGCATATGACGTATGCTCACGCTCTTCTTCATCCTGGGGGGGGGGGGGGGGAATAAAAGAATGCAGGTTTCAAATCAAAGTAGGGTAGTTTGACTGATGTACACGATAGGGAGAATCCATGACGTAACACGAAAGGCTCGGCAATCATCTTCAACGGTCAACTGAAATACAAACTGTTGCTGAGAAAGAGAGAGATGGTGGGGGGGGGGGGGGGGGGGTCGGGGAAACGATCGATATGATTGTAAAATCCTGCGTGGAACCCTTTCGAAACGTAATTACAATACAAAAAATAGGTGGACAAATTCGATGCTTCTGTATCTCTTTCGTAATCACTTACATATTATTCAGGAAACCTGATATTGCGAATATCTGCCAGAGACAAGTGTAGGGTGTAGTTACTGAGGTTTAGGACCATAACTCTCAAGATGGCCCATACTCACAGCCCGACGCTGTGTCAGAAGCTACCGAACTTCCTATAGCCCTTGTATTGGGTTGTCACCTCAGTCACAAAAGTTTAAAGTCGCAACACGCCTTTCTGTTCCTCATCGTTCATTCCCTAAACTTCATGAAGTAAATTTAAAAGGTAAACAAACGGACAAACTTTTTATTTCCTTCCCGGATGTAAGTCTAGACGGTCCCCGGCTTCCTAGATCATCAAGCGGGGGGAGTGAGGGGGGCGGGGGTTGAAAGGCAATAATTACGTATGGAAGGAAAGGAAAGGCAGAGGCACATAAATGCCGTTTACAACATTTGACAAGACAAAATCCACCAATATTGCCCCACACTGCGTTTATGCTTAGCCATTGCGTCGGTTTGCCACACCAGTTATTCTCTACTTCTGTAACTGACAAGGAATAGTCAACACCCACCTTGGGATCTTGGCTTCTTGTTAACTGCGAAGTTGGCTTCATTTCGGTTCGATCCAGAACGGCATACTTGATTTCAATGGTTTCATCATCAGACGTTGACAAAAACTCGCCCAACACATTCTCACAGCCAATCTTGGACTGGGCCAACTGATAAGGGACAGGAAAAGCGAAGACAATAGCAAGGATATGAGTCGTAGAACAACCTTATGAAATCTAGTGAAATCAGGGTCTGATAGCTTCTTACTTCTGTCGCTGGTTCCTCGCGGTTGTCGCTGTGTTCCGCTCCCTGTGCGTCTGTGTCCAACTCTGCATGTTTCACGTCTCTTTTACGACTAACAGGCGTGGCATAGGTATACTCCAGTGCACTCGCTCCCGATGCCTGTGGAGAAGAATGAAAAGAGGCCATAATACTAGTAATATATTCCAGGTTACAATCGCATTAGATTGCTGTTTGTTCAAAGCGGGACAGTGCTGGAAGCCATCCACTCATGTATATGGGCATGAATTCACCAATAAAGTGAGACACTGTTCCATCATCCATGAGGGTCCTGCAAACCCCTGCCCATTTGTTCTCTGTTATCTTCTTAATCTTCTTTGTAGAATTGTGTGTTGCTCCCTACATGGGAGCTCGCAGTTTTCTTTCCGACTTGAATTCTCACGTGGCGGACTCACGACTGCCATCCAGAGCATACGAAGTCCATCGAACCGCTCACTCAGCATACCTGCTAGAAAGCACCACTCGTGTTTCAGCTTGAGTGGGCTGATGAAGATTGTGATGAAGATTGTGCCAGAAGAGCACCACTAGTGCTATCCAGGCACAAACATCACCAGGTATACGAACTTACGCATATGCTCCGTTTCCAGCGCGGCAAACACCTCGTGAATACCAGATAGCAGTGTGAGTCAGTGTCGGTCATGGAGGTGCTGAACAACGTTGTTGCCTCCAAACAATCTAACTCGCAAGCCCGCGCTCGGGAAAACAATGTGAAGAAGAGATTTTTGCGACTTCGGCGATACTTGGGAAAATGTTTGTTGATCCTGCATCTGAGCTCGTGGTTTTCCTGCCGATTTGAGTTGGAGGCAAGGAGGACTCCGAAACCAGTTTTCGTGCAATTCCGATTGAAGAGATGCTCGAAATCTGGTTAAGAAATTGTTCTGGACATTAATTGATGCTGGGCATGAGAAGGCCAAATTTTTAGATTTCATGAAGTAATTATTGAACCGCATAATTCGTCAAATGGCTTCCGTAGGATATTATAGGAATGTTATTACAGAATGAATAGGGCGCACCCACTACAAGCGCCCTAAGCAACAATAATGAGCGCTGACAGTAATAATACAAATCAAAAATATCCTGTGACAATCAATGAGTATATTATGAGATACATTCACAGCCAGAAAGTAACTTTTCTAACAAGAAGGAGAGGATAACTGGGCCGGATTTACAGAACAATTCGGTGTCCAGTGTAAAAACCTTTTCTGTTTGCGGAAGTCTGGTTTGGTTGTAAACATTGAGATAGATTTCATAACACGTAAATGTCTTCGAAAGCGTAAACCAGACACTGTTCTGAGTGAAGTTAACATTGACTCAGCAAACGAGGTTTGCCCCCGTTATGTATGTGTTCTTTAATTTACTTCGCAAAGTCGAACGGGATCGTTTCCCAATATGATAGCGAAGGGTGGTGGTTGGGGGGGGGGGGTAGAGGACATTGATGACGAGTTTTTCCACCTCACCTTCGGCATTTATTGCGCTGCATCTGCCACCTTGGTAAAATCATGCACGGTGGTGGCCTGGAACAAGCAACACCTCTCTGAGCTGGTTGTGTTTCTCAACCCAGCCGCAAGCCGGTTATAGTTGTGTTTTTTTTTACAGAATGCACCTCCTATTGATAGACTATACAAAGAGAGGAGAAGAAGAAGACAAAAGAAAATAATGATAAAGACAACAAAGGAGCACGACAGACAATATACTAGTAGGGGCTCTCAGGGAGCCTGAGCCCCTGAGGCGGGACTAGCAACGCCGACCTAGGGTCTCGGCGTTAGCGCTATCCGGCGCACCATGGACGGGATTACGAAACAAATGGAAATAAATAAGTGAATGGGAGGGAGCTGATTGTGGATATATGGGGTGTCACAGCGAGTCTGTAGTATGGGGTGTGCCAGCGAGTCTGTAGCCCGATACCAGCGGCTTTGTCGTACGTGCTGATACACCTTGGCCTTGAACAACTGGAGGGACGTCAGGCGTGGCGGAGACTGCAGCTCAGTTTGGGGCAAGTTGTTCCACTCGTCAATGATGCTGTAGGGGAAGCAGCGCCACACGTAGTCAGGAGAGGAAGCCGGGAGGACGTTCTGTAGTTGAGATTCGTGGCGCACCGAGTGGTCGGAGCGAGTTCGAGGACATGTTCGTGGAGGAAGCAGTGGGGGAACCAGCGACGTTAGTTGCGGTGGCCCTGCCAGACACATCAGCTTTTACATATAGCTGAGGGCGGCGACCAATTTCCTTCCTGCCAAACTCTGGAGGAGGACATCTGTGCCAAGAATGCGGAGAGCCGCACAGTTCCGCGAACTTCACCTTTTTTTCCATGAAAGAGACCAAGTATCTCCAATATCGGCAAGAAGGTCACGGACTAACAAGTCAGTTCCATTGTCTCGTAACTCGAACTCATTTACTGAGCCTGGTAGTGCTGTCACGGTGTATGAGTCTGCTGTTGATAACTATCTTGTGGAAAATAGTGATTGTCGTTGTAGGTACACTGATGATTGTGTGACGTGTGGTCTCCTTCTCATAGAAAAGCAGCCATCTTTCATAATACCGTTATCCTCGGTGAAATCAGATTCAAAAAGCATAGTTCACACCCTAAGCTCGCGCGGACCCTGACGTCAATGAAATGCCACGATTATAGTGTGGATTTCAGGACTCTCACATGTAGAGGTGCAATGATGTTGCCAGATCTGGTGTAAAGCGCTAGTTGTGCACACATTGTGTCCGATTTCAGTGTGCGCAACTGTAGAAAGAGCACGGAAGAAAGCTGTACCCAACTGAGCTGAATACCCGTTCAGTTATACGGACAAAAAAGAAAATTAATACAAGATCCAAGTCTAAAACAAACGAATTATCCTCACTTCTCCTCCACAGGTCTTACCGCTGTCGCCTCTGTCTCATTGTCGTGGCTGTGTTCTGCTGCCGTCACGTGAGTGTCTGCTTCTGCAGGTTTCTCGTCTCTAATACGATCACCAACTGCAGCGTAGGAATACTCCTGTGAAACAGCCTGAACAGAAGATTGCAAAATTAGAGGCCCCATTCGCCAAGCTGCACCCACGGTAAAATCCTCGTCATTCAACATGTGAAGCTGCTGAAAGCCATCTCGTCGTGCAAAATGGGCTTGAACTGACCAGTAAAACGAGATACTAATTTTGAATTGCGTTCATTATGTGCTTGAGAGTCAGCACTCTAATCATTTTTCTGTATGTAATCTCGCTAATTCATTCTCTCCTCTTCATGTCAATCCTTCATTCAGGGCTATGTTTAATGGAGATTACACTTGAGTAAATGTTATAATTATAATTATACTTTCAAAAAATTATTTTTGTTCCTACTTCTCCGTACCTGTTCATCGTGATCTTGCGGCCTGTGGGCTTCTCCTTCATCATTGCGTTGAACATCCTCGTACTGGTTAAGTTCAATTGGATCAGCTTCCTGTGCGGGAATGGTACGAAACCGCTAGAGTATATTCTGGTGAGAGTCAACACTTTACTTTTGTTTCTGTAGTATATTATGTCGCTAGGCTACCTAGGGCTCCACAGATTCCCCTTCATGCGATATAAGGAGGTCCGAAATTTGTCTCCAGAACTAACTGCATGGAGGTAGCATTGTCCAACCACTGAAATGTGATCAAGAACGCAGTCGTCTACACAATCGCGGGGTACGAAGCTATGTTGCGACGCAGAGTTTCAAATGGATCAGGTCACTTGACTCAGATTTGCAACGCAGCTTCCTATGGCGCTTTTTTGGCCAGTAAAGAGTTACCTATACTCTACCTAAGTAATTCTAAACTGTTCGATGGTTTTTCTCCGAAATACAAAAGAGGTCGTGGTTGGCCAGCATTTTTCGCTTTTGCGACAGTGCTAGTTTTTCAAAAATCATTTAACATTGAGGTGCACAGTCAAGGAGAAGACGTAAGAAAAGACAAAGCCATAGAGAAGATGCTGCCGCAACATTACTCGCAAGGCGTACGTGGATTTTCTTGTGCATAGTATTCAATAGGCGATACTGTGTGATATTTAGACCAAAACAGATGAATGAGGACAGATAAGGTGCATAATGTAAACGTGTTCCTCGCTGCACTCACCTGTGGCCTCTCTTCTGGAACTGATGATTAGAAGGAGAGTGGAACACACAAGAAAAAATCGCATGAAATGGTAAATTCCCTGTCGAGATTGATAATTGATATTCGACATCGACTCGTGAATATATACCCAGCATTTCATGTAGCGTTAAAGCACAGAATTCACATTACTTCGAAAACACATGCCCTCAGCGAAATTCATGCTGCTAACATGACCACATTGGTTGACGTCTAGAAGAGCGGAGAGGGAGAGAGATCGGGAGACATACCGAGAGACGAACAGGCAGGGAAAGAGAAAGAGGTTTAGAGGGACAAAGAGACCGACAGAGAGAAATGGTAAGTGACAGATGAAGAGAGAAAGAGAAGGGAAGACGGACAGAAAGAGGTATAGACTGAAAGAGCAAAAGGTCAGAAAACTTCTGAGAGGCAGACGAAGGCATAGTTATATGGAAACAAAGATTGAGAGCTGCATTTTTATCTCCATACGATCCCCATTAAAATTAATATAATGTTATGCAAACGGTGAGGGGACAATAATTTGATAACCGCAATCAATAAAATTAGCTAGACCGACATTTGTGTACTTTGTTCATGCAATGGTAAACCAGTGGAGACGATGTACACCATTTCTTCTTATTTTCAACGTTTTATTGCACATCGACTATACTGTTTTTACATTGCATGAATATCGTACACAAATGTCGGTTCATGTTGAGTGACCTCCAACATTACACTGCGCTCCTTAGCCGACTAGACGCTCCTGCACACAACCATCACCATTGCGAGGACACTTCCGTACATGCTATTGATAAACTCCTTCAGACAGCTGTTTCGCTAATACATAGCTCCTCAGTGAAGGTAGATGTTGATTGATTAAAGTGTAGACCAAACTGCTATTATAAAAGGTTTCCACATACAAAACTGGCATAACTGAGGTGATAACGCGGGAAAGTGTGAAGTTTTGTTGACGCGCATGGGACATGCATGCAGCGTGAGAAATTCGGCACGGAAAATCAATCATTATGACTATCAATGCAGAAATAACGTGCCAGAATCAGTGTACTGCGTAGCTAGTGAGAGTCTGTGTATGGCTCTAGTCCGAGCGCCATGAAGGCCGGCAAACACACCTCACGACTCGCCCACGTCAACAGCCACAGCAGCCCCTGAAGCACTGTACTGGTCGCCCTTCGCGCCAAAACCCTTGGCACTCATTAGTAGTCATGCCACCAATGTTGTCCGCAAGCTACCTTGTTATCTGCCCATCACCCAATGCCGCTGACACGCTGCGAGGCCCCGCGGCATTCGCCCAGTATATCGTCGTCAGATGTGTGTGGACAGTACAATAACGCTGGTAGAAAAAAAACAGTTGGTCGTATGGTACTGCGTCCTGCGGATTGTCCCTTGACTCGTCTTGTCCCTCTTATTGCTCTGACGCGAGGGGCGTTTGCCGGCCTCCCCGGCACTCGGACAAGTGCGATACTCAGACTCTCACTAGCTACGCAGTACACTGATTCTGGCACGTTATTTCTGCACTGATAGTCATAGTGATTGATTTTCCGTGCCGAATTTCTAACGCTGCATGCATGTCCCATGCGCGTCAACAGTGCTTCACACTTTCCCGCGTTATCACCTCAGCTATGCCAGTTTTGTATGTGGAAATCTTACAATTATAATAGCAGTTTGGTCTATATTTAAATCAATCAACATATACCTTCATGGATGAGCTATGTATTAGCGAAACAGCTGTCTGAAGCAGTTTATCAATATCGTCTAAGGAAGTGTCCTCAGAATGTTGATGGCTGTGTGCAGGAGGGTCTAGTCAGCTAACGAGTGCAGTGTAATGGTGGAGGTGACTCAACACATTTTCTTCAATGGCCAAGAACTCTGTGGCACCCTGTAATAAATGTCGGTTCAGCTAATTGTAATGATTGCCTTTATCATAATATTATGCTTTACGATCTCTTAGGGCAGGAATCCTTCACTAAACAAAAGCTTATCTAGCTTCAGTGAAGGGGGCATTGCAGGATTTAGCGCTGTTTATACTGAGAAAAAGAATCGACCGTGCATTGAACACAAAGGCTTCAAGACAGGGAGGACAGTGGATTGTGTACCTGTAAAATCTTTCGATGAGAACCAGCGAGAAATCCTTTTTCGGTTGGCCGCCATGGCTACAGCCAGGATTACAGTTAGGACTCCTGCCACAGCTAGGCCGACGAATCCTCCAACACTGATCCCGCTGGTGCTTGCTTCATTGCCCGAGGTTGGGGGTGTTGTTGAAGATGGCACTATAAAATTGGCAGATAACAATGTTGACAAGTTCAGATGTATATATAGTGACCAATGTAGAGACCAAAAACGATATTCGTTTTTCTGTGTAACGAAAAAAAGATTGCGTCTGTTTAAATAGTCGGCGTGGAGAAAGCAATTTTATTACAAAATTAGGAGTATAATCGATGCAGACATGGCCAGACAACAACCTTTACCTTTGGTGACTACCGAGACGGTGGTCCCCCCAGTGCTGGGATCCACGGTGCCGACTGTGTCTGGACAGAGAGGGAGATCATCGACAAACCAAAATGAAACCAATATCCTCACCCATAGACCCAGAAGAAGCACAGCAAACTATTCACTTGAAATTTATGCACGGAATGGACTTGGCCCACGCAAAATGGACAGTGGAAATGGGTGTGCAGTAGCAGAGAACCCAGCAACGGTGACGCGGAGCAGCGGTCAAACGACTTGTGATGCTGGTGGAGATGATGGAGCCATGTTGGAGGCTGATAAGGAGTGCAGTGAGACTGAGCATCAAACGGATGATGAGGAAGTGACTGATGATGATGATGGTGGTGGTGGGGACGATGATGATGAAGATGAGACGGAGGACGAGGATAAGGCGGAGGAGGTCGAAGGAAAGGAGCGGGATGAGACGGAAGAGAGCGACGTGAGCAAAAAGTCAGCTGTATTTTGTCACTTGTTATCACGTCCAGATTGTCTAAGTGTGTACGATGATTCTCACTTTTCTGTTTTGTGCCGTGCAAGTTATGTTAAGCAGTTGAAGGTTCTGAAAGCTGTATGTATTCGTGTGCATAATCCTGTTCTTTGTAAACAAAAGAAGCATGTAGTCGCGCTAAAGTTGTTCTCGTAGCTGGTTATCAGATGTAAATGTTGTGTCATGTTGCACTGTATCACCTCTTGCTTTGTGGCTGCACTCAGTTATATACGTTAGCACTATGTTTGCCACCTATTATGTAATGCTGTAGCACTTCCTTTGTTGTTCACACTTTTAATTTATTATGCTGTTATAAAATGTTCTATTTTTGTACACAGTACCCTCAGTTCCGATACTATTCACTGATGAGCGGAACACGAAAATCGATTTTGAATAACATAAAAATCCTTAAAAATTCCATGAACTCGTTGTTGTCTGACCATGTTTGCATCGATTATACTCCTAATTGCACTAATAAAATTGTGTCTGTTGTTTTCATTTTTTGTGCGTTTGCACTACCCTTGCTAAGGCCACACATACCTTGTGAAGAAAGAAAGCCTTGATTGCTGACAACATGTAGCTAAACACTTGGCAATACTCATAATCTGTTTTGCTAAGTCATCCATATTCTATTTTACGCATAACCTTGACACAGAGGTTATCAGGTCTGGCAACACTTTCAAAGTTAGTGTAGGTAGCTTTCCAAAATTTCATAAGTGATATTTTTTAATGTTTTGACCTCCAAAGTGCCGGTTATAAGGATTTGCTTGCAACTTTGTTCAAACCGGGTTGCTGTGTTATTCACTATTGTACTCGACTTGGAAAGTAAGGGTTCGAAAGGCTTATCCGAAAACATATCGCTTCCGTGCTTCGTGTGATGACCTTCTAAGTGCTAGCCACATCCAAAGCTACGTACAATGCTTAAAACAAAATTCATCCTCACCTGTGGGCAACGTGGTAATGCGAGTGGAGCTGGACTGGTCACTGTCTCCATAGGCATTGCTAACATAGGCGGTGACATTATAGCTCATGTTGGGTTTTAGGCCAGGTAAGGTGACATTTTTCGAGGCGCTGCATACTGGTACCAATGGCATATTCCCGGACAGATCATTAGCAGGTATTGCGTGCACACAATACTGGCGTATGGGAAGGTTGCCTTCTTCTATTTGCCCTAGAAACACCGTGATAGTAGTACTTGAGATGACGGGGTTGAGAGGCGGATTTGGTGCTGATATAAAACACATCCACATCACGTGTAATGACTAAGGAAATTGTTTTGTTGAGAAGAAAATTAACCAAAGGATTATTATCATTCATATTCTTCTTATTCTTCGTTAGTTTGAGGGAAAGACACAAAATATTCTTATTCTTATTAATTTAGCACTGCCGCGTTCAAGTCTGTGGATCAATTAGGTCCAATCACAGTTTCTCTAGTACCGTATAGATTCAAGTAAGGTGATAATGATGTTGAGCTACGTGATAATGGAATAGTTTCCAAATATACACCCGATGTGACAAGGAAAAGACTGCATGCAAGGCAGTGACTAAGGATCATGCACGTGAAAATAACACTGATAAGAACCTATTGTGAAAAGAAGAAGGACAAAATGTTACGAGTTATGACTAACTGTCCCTCAACTCGTAACATTGGGTCCTTCTTCTTTTCACAATAATTCAATTAGCTCCACATCCGAGTTAAAAAAGGAAACTATAATCGTATAATAGCTATGAAAAGTATGAATGCCGCAGACATCACCATGCAACATGATAATTTGTTCAAGGTTTGGTTTTGTTTGTTTCCAAAATCGATTTTCACGCTCCGATCATCAGTGGAAATACGGGCCTAAAGAAATCAAGGGAAAAACAAAGGTTAAAAATCCAAAGAAGTGTGACACATGACGGGTAACTTGTGGCAAGTATTACAAAAGGTGAGAACTAAAATAAAGAGTAAGTGTGACAAACGGGCATGAACAGTGCAGAAACCTTTTAACCTTTGTTTTTCCATTGATCTCTTTAGTTCCGTATTTCCACTGATGATCGGAGCGTGAAAATCGATTTTGGAAACGCACAAAACCAAACCTTGAACAAATTGTCATGTTGCGTGGTGATGTCTGCGGCATTCATACTTTTCATAGCTATTATTAAACTTTTCACTCACAAAGCGACTGTTCAGTCCATGGGGTAGTGGTCTACCAGAGCAATCACACTTACCACCGTGGTGGTTTTCCAGAAATGAGTAGAAGCAAAAAAACCACACTCGCAGCCACATAATAGATAAATAGCCGAAAAATATCTAAATCCATCAAAGAACCGCCAGCAAGCGGGAGAAAAAGCCGTGAAATCGAGTGAACAGCATGGCCAGTGGTGACCATGGGTGACTGGGCAGCAGGGGAGCGCCTGAAAAACAATGACTCCCTACATTCCTAGCCGTGACTGCTCAACCGAGATAGAGGAAAAACACGCCTTTTGGCCAAAAAACCTTTCTATTTCATTAATTCCTGCCCCACTGCCAGTCGGACCCAAGAATAGATATAGCAAGAAATGGTTTGTAATAACCGGTGTATGTCATAATCATAAGCCACACACATAGGCATAGATTGTCAAGAAGAACAGCGGACGACTCCCATGAACCCAGGGTGGGTGGGCGGGCAACTTCAACTACAACGAGGAAAAACAAAGACCACGATGGCAGGTTCAACGGAGTTGCGCAGAACAAGAGGAAATGCACGAAAATATTTGTGAGTGAAAAATACGTTTTTTGCACTCTTTCGCTACGCTCAGCCGTGAAAAAACAATTTTTTTTATCTCCACGTAGATTATTTCTATAATCGTATTTTCATGTTTTCTCTTACACCTCTCCCTGCCAACGAAATAATTTGGGCACATGTGTGGCTATACCCTAGATCGAATCAGCAATGCATATTATGTGAAGCGTGACATGGAATGTCATTTGAGGAAATCGATCGTGGCAAAACGAATTTGCCCGGAACAATAGGAAGAATGTTCATATCACCAAATCCTTAAGAGTCACGCAAAACTCTTAACTCCTGACCCTGTTGGTGTCGGTATAATTATGATGTAACCGCATCCCTTACCTTTCGGCAATGTTCCAATTTTGATTTCGGAGGACATGCTGCTATTGTGTCCGATCGTAGTTTTGAAGAATGCTCTGATCCGGTACAAAGTATTTGTTGCCAGGCCTGACAGAACAGTTGATTCATTTTTGTCGCACACTACCGTCGGGGTAGCCGCAGTTCCATTTTTCTCGTACAGAAAGCAGAAATCAGAAACCCAATCTCGAAGTATCTTAGGCTGTACTATGCGTGCGTAGATGTGCGTGTCTGTAGAGTTGACAGCTATGGCGGAGGGCACTACAGGGGAAAGAGCATATTGAAGAACGCATGGAATACCAGTGAACAAGACATGTACAAGTAAATGGTCTTTAGTTTGTCGAATATTACCTTTCTAATGCAAGAATAGTTGTATATGTACGGACTATTTGACTGCTTCCAGAAAATCAGAATTCAAAAAGATTTTCGAACCGAGACTCCAGCAATCTTTAACAGGTATATAAAATATATAGATAGGAAAGAAAATGATCCAGGAAATGCAAGTTACGCTTTAATGTCCATTAACAACAACATTAGTTGCTTGACCATCAACTCATGCAATGCAATTGAACGACACTGTTGAACAGTACTGACGGTCAACAACCAATTGCCAGTAAACTCTAGCACGTATTCGAGCTTGTATTAGAATCGCACTCGAACCGCCTTCCAATTTGAAAGGTTCTAAGTTATAGGAGTAGGAGGGGATGATGCGCGCAAACAAGACTGAAACATGAAACTCTTAGATGTGAAGGACGTTGACGAAGGTACATGGAGAACCTTGCCAGAGTGCTCAAACTGACAAGTCAGGGAGCTCTGCATAACGCAAACAGCAAAGACAAGAGCGCTCAACGGCTTCAAGAGCAGGAGCGAAATACTCCAAGTCGGGACATAACTGTAATATTTATACTCACATTGCGCCCATCTTCCTGTCCGCTTTCGCTCTTCTTCTTACAATTCATTATCTTGCCACATGTTAACTACTGCCGTATTGCCTGGTCAAATCTATCGTATATACTGCCCAAGACCAAGAACTGGAAATTCCTTAATTAGGTGATATCATTATTGGTTAGTGAAATGGCGATATTCCTAGTGCCCAATGTGAATATCGCGTGTAATGCCAGCTAGTACGTGCTTCGGAACCGCAAGGGTTAAGATTATTTAACACATACCCAAGTTCCTTTTCGAGGAAATATTAAAGAAAATGGTTGTGTCCGTGTCCGACGGGAACTCTCGACGGACGCTAAACCCATTAGACCCTAGCGGGATATTGAGCGCTTGAGGGAGAAACCCCATTAGCAGCACCCACGTACCCCTGCAAAAAGCACCTGACCACAAGTTTTCAACTTTTCATTCTTCATTTTTCGATTTTTCTTTCTATACATTTTCGTACTCCCGAAGCTGGCTATAAATCTCTCCAATCACCGCGCCAAGTGGTAATTGCCTGCCCGAGCCATTTTTCCCTAGGAATAAAACAAACCCGAAGGTTTTGGAAGAAGGAATGTACATCGATCCCGATCTTTGTATTATGGTAGTTGTGATAATGATCATGGATCGAAAAATGTGCATTGAATGGCCTTAGTGGGCTAGCAAGTTTTAAAAGCAACCTTTGTTTACAAATTAATATTACATTATCAGCCCCTTTAGTGCATAGGTAGGTGAATACGGAAAGGCTGTTAGGCAAGTATAAGAGTAGCCTAATGGGTGTGTGAAAGAATTTCTATGAGATCCCTACCTTTTGGTGTATATTTTTGGCAATAGAAACTTAGCTTCATTGAGCAAGATTCGATTCCAAAACTGTCTTTCTCCGGGGAATAATATCCGCATTCGTTCCGTCCACCACCTTCTTGTAGTGGTGCAGTAATCCAAGAAACGTTTTTTGCAGCGATTGGAACAGGTAACATCCATGTCCAGGTTTTGGATGGAGATGGTCGTTGAAGAGCAACCCACACATTGCATGTATTGGTTTTGCAGAAGTACGAGGAAGTCGTGCAGTTACCACTGGAAGAACTGTTGCACTGACCGTTTCGGGGTCCAAGCAGTTCTCTTGCACACTCTCCATGATATCTAGTCTGGATATTTGCCAGAATGCTACCTCTCCAGGCACACTCAGCAGACGCATCATCGTATGTCTTAGGTGTGGGAACGTAAAGAGTTTCGAGGCTTCCCGATGCTTCTTGGCTCTGTGAGCAAAAGTACCAGTTATCTGCAGAATTGACAGTTTGTATTCCAAAAAAAGCCTTTATAAAGACATTGATGTGATCCAACCAACCAATGCAACCACTCCACGTATATGTCCACAAAAGGTAGAGGCACCTCGAATAGAGTGCTAAGCAGACCAATTTCCAGAGAAATATCAGGAAAAGCGTCAAGACCAGGTGCAAAGAGAAGTTTCAGGCATGGCAGTGGTCACCAGACAGGGGAAATTGAAACAGATGTTTTGAGAGCGGCACTACATACTTTAGAACAAAACCCCATATTTTCGCAATCTATACCTTCGCATGCAGAGACGCAAATCGACACTATCAAGTAGACACTTTTTCATCCAAACAACGCTTTCCTTCACTCCTCATCAAGATAGCACAGGGAATGTTGGAAAAAATGTAACTACGTAAAGTTTTTAATAAGGAAAAAAGAAAACACCTCAACCTAATTGAAAAATGATTAAAGTGCCAAAACCTCAAAAACGGAACCTGGGAGTTGTAGACAAACATGGTCAACACATCATGAAATACTGGGCACACTTTCTGTGCCACCAAGCATCTGCAAAGATAACACACTCTCCCTCTATACACATAGTCCTGGAGCTAAGTTAGGAATACACAGCGCTTCTAACACAGAAAGGTGTAAGCTTCCACAAGTTTAAATCTTAAATATAGCATCACGCTACAACACCCGACAACTAGCACTGCACGACAAATGATGTTTCATGATTTCACTAAAAGCAGCTCACCAGAGGATAATCAGTTGCAGAATGATAGAATTAAACTGAATAGTACTGTATAAGACACAGCATACTGGTACAATTTGTGCAAGTCACACATGTGAAGTCCACACGAACAGAATAGTGCAGAATTTAGGATGTAAAGGAGCCTCTTTTACGGGCCAATAAAAAATCCAATCTGAAGAGCAATGTCAATAAAGCCGCTCATAACGCTAAAAATCAAATCAATTTAAGAAAATTCAATTCAATTCAAAGTCGTGACACATCCAGTAAAAAACAACAAGAAATAATATCTCGGTGCAAAGGAAGAAAAAGGAAATAAAAAGCCGCTTCATTTTAAAGGACCAAATGAAGAAAAGCAAAGAAATACCCACATCAGCGCTAAATTGCACCTTAAATTATAAACAAAAACATGACGCGTCCATTAGCATTGAGGACACTGCCATTAGCGAGGTTATACACACCACTGTTACATCAGTCCCTCAGCCATGGCTATTTTTTTTTAGGTACTACACTGTACATGTAGTGTAGGTTTTTTTTGAGAACGGAGAGCGGCAGCAGCCTGCAGGTCTTATTCGATAGTGAGAAAAATGTTATCAACTCCAAAGCCCGAAAAAGGCCAAAAACTAAACCAAGAACATATGCAATAACATGTTATTTATAAAGACAGGACAAGTGAATAATTAGTCAGTCCATTGTTCATGATGATCTTCGACGGTTACGTCGGCAAGCGAGCCTCTGCCACTGCCAAAGCAGCGTGGGCTCCGCAGGAGGGTGCAAATTTCAAACCAAAATTTAAACGCCTACAACCGCGAATGCACATGATACAGGATTTCAGAAGGCTGAAGGAAATTCTGCATCTAACAAATGCCATAACATGAGAGTAATGCTCACCCCTCTTCTCCGCCAACAGATGAGCAATTCGTTTGTACAGTGCTGTTGATGCTGGACCCAGTCCGCCACTGGCTGACATGACCGCCGGAACAAAGGAGGCTTGCTCAGCCTGCCTCACCCGCTTCTCATAGTGCCTTCTCTTTTCTTTTTCATGTCGCTGATACACAATAGTATGTGGTGCAGATCGATTTGAGCGTGAGTGAGGATTAAAAACCCGTATATCAATAAGTGTACGCTCAAAACGACTGCCCTACAAACCATTGGCAGCGACATCCAACCGGGCACGGTCTTCCACATTTGCGGTCCGGTAGCGAAGACGCTCCCCCGTCAGCGGTTGCAGCAATGGCTCGATGGACACACTGGTGTACACCTCGTCCAGCAGCCGGGCCGTGACGTCCCGAATACCATTGTGTCTAATGGAGGGAAACCCTCCATAGGGGCACGACAGGGAATGCGCGACAGTTGCCTCTTGGCCGCAAGAGCAGCGTGACGGTACCCTGGCCGGTGTCCATCCGTAACGGAGGCAGAGTCCGTCCCAAAACTCTGCCTTTGTTAAAATTAAAATGATATTTCTTAAGTGGGCGGCACGTCAGCCAGCTCGACGACCCTTTCTCCTTCGCGATGTCTATGACATGTCGTAGCGACTCCGACGCACTGCCCGATATCGCGTCGAATTCCAGTTTCTGATGACGTCGAGAAGATGCCTTGGCGTCTCTCTTGGGCGATCTGATTAACACTACATGGCTAGTGGGCGCAATGCATTGACCGGTCGATGGTATGCAGAGCCAGCCCCTCTGATGCACATAACTGCAGCTCGGAGGAGTGCAAACGACAGACAGCATCTGACATAGGCCATAACCTCGCCGTAGGGTTTGCCATCATGCTGTGCCAGCATAGCGCATAATCGCTTCAAAAACCGCAAGCATTCTGGTGATGCACTGCCAGCCTTGGTGAAGACAAGCGGGGTAAAGTTACCACGGTCAACATTGACAATCCTTTCGCTGTACTGCAGCTTCTTCTGCCTCTCGTGCAATGATGATTTATGGCGGACATCCGACCTGCTCACTTTGTAACCTTCAACGCTGGTCTCCTCCATTGGGCTTGGTTGTTTGGCAGCTCCGGTTGACACCTACAAGTGAACGTCCTGAGGCATGCACTCATCCGGCACGACTTAGATGTAGAAAATGTCATTGAAGCTGTATTCTCTGCTAATGCAATAACTGGCGTTGACTCGAGCATTCTTGAACAAGGATTCTCATATGGCAGAAACCGAAACGAGCACGGAGGTGGTATTGATATGTTGATCAAGTCCACCTTTGCTTCTGATAATCTAGACTTACTTCGGTCCGCGGAACGTACAACATTTTGGGCTATGTGTTGCAAGTTTGGTGATTGGTTCTGTGTACCGCTCCTACTCCTGTAGCCCCACCAACCTCTGTCTCCTCAATTCACGTGGCGAAACACTACCTTAGGCCAAAGAACTGT